GGGGGATCTCTCTGTCTCACTCTCTCTGGGATCAGACTTTCACTGCACTGCTGCAAAAATCCTCTTTAGATCATTAATGTCCGTCTGCGCGTCTTTGGACAAATCGTTTCGGCGGATCATGGGTCGTTAACTGGCTTGATGCGAGTTCCGATAACCCCGGAGCTGTTTCAAGTCATGCTTTATGGTTGAATTTCACTTTCAAACTCGGTCTGCCTCGGACGGATCGGCGGGATTCACATGTTATTTATACGCGCGAGGTCGGCGGGATGCTGCGAGTGCGTCTCCTCTGCAAGGTCCGAAACTTTTCTCCCATTACGCGCAGCCGGGGAGATAGATGAGCCACCTGGATTAGATCCCTCTTCTTTCACCGAAAAAAAAAACAATTAATTAAACTCCAGAATTCATCCGAGGTTTGTTCTTCTTGCAGCGGTATTGTTTCTCATCAGCAGACACAAGTCGACAAAATCAGCCGTCATATTTATTTGGGGATTGAGGCTGTCACGCGCTTTGTTCCGCTCCTCGCATCCGCAAATCTCTCCACAACCTTAAAACTGCGTCCATTTGACCTTTTTTCTTATTGCAGTTCAAATAAATACATCCCAGATAGACACGCGCGCTCCTTTCCGTGATTTTCAGTCCAAACTTATCACACAAAAACAACTGCGAGACGGAAGCATCCTCCTCAGACACATAAACACACACACACACACACACCACCACCACCACCACAAGCTCTTACAGCATCTCAACTTGGTGATCCCTCCGCTGTTTCTGGCTCTAATCCAATGTCCAGTGTCGGTGCGCCTCCACTTTATGTGCGTCACGCTGAGCGCCGCAGCCAGCAGGGAGCCGGTGATGATCACAGCTTTAATCCGAACAAGCTCCCATGCAACCTGCACCTATGGCGGCAACAACACTCACCGGCACCCTGATTCGGTGTAAGTAACCCCCACCTCTCCCTCTCTCCATCTCGCGCTCGCTTTTCTCTGCGCAGGCGGGGTCTATAGCCACGCTGCCTCTGGGGGCTCGAGGCTGGCTGACTCACTGCGTCCCGCTGAAACACAGCCGGGATGTATAGAGGAAAGCAACTCAAACTAACACATTTGTTTCACATTTCATACGGTTATCTGACCCTAAGAACATTATATAGCCTAATACATATAGTCTTCCCCAGAGAAACTGGAAATTATAGTTGGACTGTTTCAGAGTAATTAGCCATTTATTTTCTTCACATTTTTTACTGTTTCAGGTTTTTTTTTGTATGTATATTTCTTATAAACATTTATCTTTCTTCTATTATATAATATTTTTCATATCGTTTTATTTTTGCATTTTTCACAACTTAGTTCCTCAAACTGTGTTACTGTATGCAGCATTATACACCAAACCAAATTCCGTATGTATAGCCCACTTGGTAATCAGTGGTGTAACTACAATTACTCTTTAGGCCTACTTAAGTAAGAAATTGAGGTACTTCTGTATTTTCACATTATACTTTACATATTTTGTTACTTTGCAGATAGGTTATTAATAAAAAAATAATTCTAAAATAATATTATAGTGATGCATTGTTCATATAAAGCCCACCTTTACCAAGTGCATCATTAGAGTCATGTACACATAAATGCACCAATAACGTATTTAATATCTGGAGAATGGCCATTTTGCATAAAGATTACTCTTGGTAGCCTATTTAAAGTGAGTTTGTTTTACTTGTACTCTGGTATAAATTAAAGCTGTGCATTCAAGATTGTGTATTTTACACTATTGCTACTTTTACTCAAGTAAATTATCTCAGTACTTCATCCACTGCTGTTGGCCATAAACCTGATTCTGATGTTTACCCGGCTCATTAATCACCACTACACCCATCTGTGTGACTTGATTCCGTTTATTTGCATGGCATCTGGACATATACAGCACCTAAAAAGTTCCCTAAGTGTTTGAAAGCTGCTGCCTGATAGATGGGCACACGGAGAGGGAGAAACAAGGCGTCTGATGGATCGCTGGAACAGTGGCGTCATTTTCCATCAGTGTCCATTAGGCCCAAAGGGCAAGCGAACGCAGCACAGAGTCTAAAACCTGTGAGCCATAAACCTCCAGATAGCTCTGTCTGACAGAGCCCTGCTGCCTGTGTGTGTGTGTGTGTGTGTGTCTGTCTGTCTGTCTGTCTGTCTGTCTGTCTGTCTGTTGTCTGTCTGTCTGTCTGTCTGTCTGTCTGTCTGTCTGTGTGTGTGTGCATGTCTCCTCTGCAAAAACAGATCCATCTTTGGTATTTAGTCTGAGCGCTGACGGGGGGAGGTGTAGTAACTAGACTGTTTCCACAAAGCTCTCCATCTTCTCTCTAACATGTGTCGATAGCCTGGGCAGAATGAGCTCCAGTGAGGATCAATCCACTCCCAACGAGATGAGAATTGATTTAGGAAATTATTTGCAACAAGTCCATTTGAATCCTTTAAAAAGGGCAGCAGACTGAAATGAGAGAAATACAATCAGACTGAAGGATGTTCTGCAGTGTTAAAACGGTGACTCCTGCACAAAAACACTTTCTGCAGCTTCTTATTTCACATCTTATTGTGCCTCTCCGTTGGAACCTTTATGCAAAGTGTCCTACTTTTGCCCTGCTCTGCCTGTAATGCCTATGATTTGGGCTGCATGAAATCAGGCACGGAGAGAACCCATGCACCCCTTTAACCCAAATACAGCTGTATGTTGTCCGCCTCTGTGGATGAATTATTCAACAACTGTCTGGGGCGTGCATATGTAAACAGGTGGATCGTCTCCTGATGGCTTTTTTTTTTTTTTAAAGGGAGCCACTATGCACCAAAGACATCCTTCACCTTGGCATCACGCTATTTCTTCTCTGCTGTCACCCTGAAAGTGGGTCTAAATCTCATGTAAACTGTGCAGACTCCACATTATTGGCTATATTCACACATGAAGGCCTCTTAAGTGATCCTAAATCTAAAAATGAATGTGGGTCAGCGTATGGATACAAGCCTCCTTAAAAGGCGTTAAATCCATGAATTTATAGCCGTTTAAGTCTGTGATTGCTATGCAGTTTAACTCCGCTCAAGAGAGACATCAATTATAGACACATGAATTATCTTCCAGTGCCAGACATTAATACCTAAAACAGATGAATGTATGTCTTTCCAAGCTGTTGACTAACAAAGCAGCCATTCAGACTCAGTTAACTTTTAAGTCTCACACATTGGAAATCCAGATTTTTCTCAGAGACTTACTGGCTTTTGTGGGGATTGAACACGTCGTCAATTATATACAAGACAGTCTGTTGACCCCTTCAGTCACCATCAGGCTTACATTTGTGTGTGGCCTTGATGTCTGCCAGTAATTGCTTGATTAGAGGCTGCAGTACTAATGTAAATAAATGCTGCCAGATGTGGAAGGATCACTGACCCACATGGTTTCATTTAGACCCCGGCGCACCTCATCTCAAGGGTCTCAGTCTGGCTAACCAATGGAGAGGAGAAAGGGGGATAGAGTAAAATGCATGACACACGGAACTATAGTTAAAAGTATGTTTGATGTTGTTTATATACACAGTAACTTCCTTTGGCGTTGAATAACTTTAGGAAAATAAGTGTTGTACTTACAGTGCTTGCCAGTTTTAGCTTTAAAAAAAAAAAAAGTGTCTCCACAGACTTAAATGATCTTTAATATCATATTTTATGTGCCAGTGACTCCTCATACTTGATAACCTAAAAAACATCATATAAATATGTTTGGATAATTTTTCCTTTGAATTGCCCTTGCACCCAATTATGCAATCTCTTTGCATTTCAATATATTCCAAAGAGGTTTCTGCTCTAAATGACTCCCGGTACAGAGTGCAATACTAAGACACTGACAGTAAACAAGGGTCTGAGGTATCAAAGCAGCATCAAAGCGTCAAGTTGCTGACTTGGAGAGATGCACTGAAGTTTTTATATATTTTTAAAAAGGTACCTGAAATAATCTTGGCAAAAGTTCAAGTTCCCCAAGGGAAGCAGTCAAATAAAAATGATCTGCTCTTCAGTACGAAGCTTCCCTTTGCATGGTAAAACTGAAATGTCTATGCCATGCTGGTATCGTATGAGAAAGGTTTTTTACTTTGACCTTCAAGCATGCTTTCTCATGCAAAGTAATGAGTAGAGAAACAAGTGCCTTCACTGTGGAACTCAGTATACTTAAAACCAGGTTCCACAAACAGCTGGGATTATACAACAAATCCAGCTCCTCTCAGCCACAAATACAGACACTGCTGGACTCAATTCTCCTCTCATTTGTCCCCCTCTCGAAAGGCAGGGAAGATTTGAGGATAATCCTGTCTACGCCTCTGTATGGAAGTCAAAGAAAAGAGGTATAATAATGTCAGAAAGCTCAAGGAGGCACTCGAGATTAAGCCACTAACTATTGACTTTGTGTGAGTGGCAGGTAAAGTCACCTCTGCGCAACAGCCTGAGCAGCAGAGAGCAAGACCTCCCCCTAGTGGATCAGGAGGGGTATAACAACCCGTCTGTCATTGAGGTTTTTCCTCTCATCCCTGAGGAACTTGGTGCCAAACATGATGGATGCCTGATAGCCATGTTTGTTTTTAATCTTAATTATTAATCTTGTGTGATACGGCAATTTAGTTTCCACGGCAACCTGGCTCGTCTCCAGAGAGCCAGGCAGACATGCTACTGAAAAGGTCAGCGCAGAGCACAGCAGGATTATTCAGAATCATGGAGAATAGCAAGTACCCAGCGTTGCATATCGAATTAACTCTCCATCATCAGCGCCGCGGCTTCATGAAGGGATTGGAACTGGATTTCGCTGAGCTGTCAGTCAAGGTTCAGATGGGATGAGTACAAAGTTGGAAATATAGTAAAAGGTTTAGAAAACAATATAAAAACACCAGTAGTAACAAGGATGGGAAATGTGGAAAGTGTTACGAGGTGTTAACCGAGCAGTTTCACAGGACAGAGGGGAAGAGACAGAAACCAAATGAGGCCAGATGAAAGAAGGAACAAACTAAAGATTTATTGAAGGCAGCAGAAGATGCAGACAAGAACAGAATGGTAAGGTGGGGAGCGGGGCACATACAGAGACACTTCTGTGTTCAGATCGATTTAATGTTTGAGTTACAAAAGTGTGGTTTTTTTTTACAGCTCCAGAGAGCTTAATAGGTCTGTATTGTTTATCAAAATATACATGTTTTGAAACGTAAAGTGGATAGAATCCAAATGATTTTGTGGTACAAAAACATGAGTATATACAACCATCAATCCCGCATCATACAATAACCCCGCCCCCATATAAAAAAGAGAAAAATAAAAGCTTTAAACAAAATAATCAAAAGGCATATAATCTTCTACACCATCAACATCACAGCTACGACTGTGGTTCATTAAAGTATCCATTCTAAAGCAATCTACCAAAGTAGGCTCTTTGTAAAGTTGATCAACAAAAAGGAATACACATACAGTATAGGCTGATGCACAACATATATCTCAATTTCATGTGACATTTGTCCAAGGCATCTGAGAAATGGAACCGAGGGAAACTGAAGCCTGGTGAACTTGTGGAAATGTGAAAGAGAAAAAAACAACCTTTAGAAATCACGACACTACAACACAGCAGGGGTAGAAGATACTTTGGTCCTTATCAGCAATAACCGCCTGTAGCTACATGAAGCTTGGTTAAACCATGCATAATAATCTTTTACAAAAATAGAGACAGAGCGCATCTGTGTCTGGTCCAAAACTACAGTGGTCCAGGCTGTGGAAACCGGTGCACGAGGCACGCAGGAATGTGACAACGTTTAAGACTTCAGCGTGATGGTGCCAATTTGGACCTATCGTTGAGGAAAAGTGCACTAAGGAACCTGACTGTGGCGTAGGGGGACAGAGAGGACCGCTGAGGGCTGCCCCGACCTGTAATCCTGTTATCCTGAATTTTAGAAAAAAAATATATATACTGGGTTTAGGGTTTTTGGACCCCAGTCGACAAACGAAGCTGCCCTCTCACAGGTAGGATCACCTGAATATAAGGGGATAAAGGCATCTTTGCAGAGGGATTAGATAAACCTGAACGAGCGGTAAACAAAGTCAACTGACCGGGCCAGAGTGTTTCAGCTTCAGATTAAAAAAACTCAAGGCACTGTGATAATGATCAAACCCAGCCACTACATATAGGTATCAGTTAAGCTTAGAAGTGATACACATGTAAATGCTAACATTAAAAGAAAAGATAAATGAATATATATATAGATGTCCACATATACATGAACATAATATGGTTAAATGACGCCCCAAACACCATTGTCCCTACTGAGGAGGGACTACATGGAGGTGAGTGGGGACTGTAAGACAGGAAGGCTGGACACAGCTCTAACTCCTGCCACAATACACCTAACGGAGCTACATCACCTAGCAAGGATATTAGGCATCTAACTGACTTACATTCATATTTCTACACACATATAATGGGGATATATGCATACAAATCCTTAGATAAACATCTGTGTTCTTAAGGTTGAATGAGCCACTTTCCCTCCTTTTGTTATCAATGCTGGTACATAGCAGAAGGCATGAAAGAAAAGAGCCACGTCTTTCCCAAATAAATCCAGAGCAATGCTTAAGGCAACCTGGCTGGGGCAAAGTAAGGCACAAGACTGTAGATATAGATATTGAAAGAAAAAGACATGCTTATTCAATGACTTCAGATAGTGGTATTGATCCCCCAAAGAAAAAGGCGGATAGTAACAAGATATCTAAAATCAAAATGGATACTGGGAAATAAAATGGTCTGTGAGCCAAAACAAAATCCTTTGTATCAAACCGTTTCTGACTGGCCAACAAGATATATCCACACGACTATCGTAGTAAAAGGAATGCTGAAGTGTGTCTGGTGTGGACAGGATTCGTCTACATGAGCATTTGTGGTGGAGGGTGTTTTTTTTTTTTTAATGATTTGGTCTAAAGTGACAGTTCATCAGCTGCCCCTACTTTACCTCCAATACGAGGCCTCGGTTCACTGCAGAATGTGGCCCCTCTCAATGGGCCCAACTTGAAACCATATCGTGGAACAAATAATGATTTGTTTGGGTATCAGGAACCTGAACTGGAACCAGAAACTCCTTTGATTCTAGTTCCTGATTAATGTGCTGAATGCTGGCTAATTGTTACATTTGGCCAGTGAGTAGTTTAACCATGTAGAGAATTAGCCAATGTTAGCACAAATAAAAACAAGTGAAAGCTTCGCGAGCGATTTGTCAAGTTCTAATTAAAAATACGGAGTTACAATGCTGTTTGTTTTCCACATATTTTGGTGAAAATTGGAACCATGAATCGGAATCAATACGCAGATTGAATCTAATGTGATACCCAACTGGGAATGATTAAGAGAGCGACATTCTGCAATGAACCACAGCCATTCATATGTAATGATGCCTATTCCCACCGAACACAATTCAGGTGACAATAGACTTGGAGGGAGGAAAGGCACTCAGATGGTGGACTTTGAGAAGGACACTCTGAGGTGGTGGTTCTCTCCCAGGTCGTGGTTGTGGAACTCGATGAGGGACTCGATTGCCTCCTCCACTGAGCCCATCTGGATCAGGGCCATCTTGCGGTCCTTTCTGTAAAATAAAGAAGAGACAATGTGTTATAAAAAAACAAAGAGGGAACAGTGTGTTCTGAAGGTGTGAGACTTTGAGGTGTGCTTGCCATTTGTTATGTTGCGACTATTTTCTCTAAAACACATCTTACTCAGAATATAAACCATAGATAAAAAGAAAAAGACACGCTTTCAAACCCCCCCCCCCCCCAAGGTGCCGAACAATTCAAGAAAATAAAGAGGCTGAGACTTACTGAAAGAACTTGAAGGCCTTGACTGTGGATCCTGAGCTGGCGAAAAGCCTCTGGAGGTCCTCCTCCACCACGGCAGGTCTACAAGCAAAGAGGGGGGAGCAAAGAATTAACATCAAACATTTATGGAGGTTTACACTAGGGCTGAACGACTAATCGATATTTGAAATTATGCAATTATCAAATTGCAAAGCCTGCTATTTTTTTGTTCTTCTTGTGTGTCAGTCAGTCACACCAATCAGTGCTGTGCTCCACATGTACCAGCCATTGCTAACCAATCAGAAGTGCTGTGCTCCACATGAACCAGCCATTGCTAACCAATCAGAAGTGCTGTGCTCCACATGAACCAGCCATTGCTAACCAATCAGAAGTGCTGTGCTCCACATGTACCAGCCATTGCTAACCAATCAGAAGTGCTGTGCTCCACATGAACCAGCCATTGCTAACCAATCAGAAGTGCTGTGCTCCACATGTACCAGCCATTGTTAACCAATCAGAAGTGGCCCATGATAGAAGGTGATAGACAGATTGATCCAATCACCTGCCAAGTATTTTTGAAATACTTTTCCAATGGTTTGGTGAAACAAAGCATCTGGGTCAGGTTAGTAATGCTCCATCACATGTTTCTATTAAAGGGTGAATCTTAAACTGAAGCTTGACTTTAAAGCAACCCAACGGAAGTTTCATGTAAGTTTAGTTCTTTCACTCGTAGCTCGGGCTGCGGGGGTGCTAGAGACGGGAGCACGTTGATGCGACCTTCCGAGCCGGAGATATGGCCGCATTTTACAATAAACTTCCGTCGGGTCGCTTAAAAACAAATATCGCAAATCGAATCGCAATTAGATTATTTCCCCAAATCGTGCAGCCCTAGTTTACACCCCCTCTACCTATTTGCATTTTCATGTTTATTTCCTGGCATTGTGAAACTAGACACAGGAGGCCTGATTAAAATCTAAAACATGCACCTCTAGAGTAGCATGATTTAGAAAACACCGTCGCAACTACTGAATCCCAAACGCTAAATATAGATTGAAATGAGTCAGGACTACAAAGGGAAAAAGCTTACAGCACAGAAGCTGCTGGGGAGGGAGTGGGAATTCAAATGAGGCACTCACGGTATGTTGGAGAGGTGGAGTGTTGCCGAGGGTGGGAAGATGTTGGAGTAATTTTTGGAGCCGGGCTTCTTGAAGCGGTGCAGCGGTGAGTTGCTGTAGTCCTTGGTCAGGCCCTGGTCCTCGTGGCCCTCTCTGGGAAGCTGCACGGTGGTGTGTTTGGATGAAGTCACACGCATGGCCCTGCCGTGGAGGCGCTGGCCATTCAGGTGGCTCATAGCTGAGAAACATTGAGATTATATGAGAAGGGATATTAACAATCACATTTCTGTTCATCAAAAGAAGACCCACCAGGTAAGATAATGTGAGGGGGTAAAAGAAAACAAGATGAAAGAAAATGAAACTTCAAAAGAAATCAAATGGTGTAGCTACCTAGCTGAGCCTGTGTGCAATCTGACATCTGGATCAGAGCATTCTCCTTTTTATTAAACAGGATCTTCACTCGCATCACATCGCCGTACACACCTGGGGAGGAAGAGGACGGGGTCACAAAACAAGGTACACAAAGAACAGTCCAAACAGCAGCTTTGAAACCAATCACAGCAACAACACACCATCACATCAGGGACTGTAATACTCATACTGCTACTTGACACCGTTTGATTAATAAGTCATTGTCAGGCTATTCTACTAATTGTTCAATTCTGCATGGGATCTATAGAACTAATCCAACATGAGCCCACTTATATTACAATTACAGACGCTGAGAGCGATGCTTTAGAAGGGAGTGATGTGATTAGAGTAGTACGAGTGTTTCTGATCGGTTTGATCGCTCTAAAGTGAAGACAAAGGTGATTCCTTGACTAACCTGAGGGCCTAATAGAGAAACATGCAGGAATACGCTTAACATGCAGATACCTACATTAGGCTAAACAACTGCAAAGGACGTGGTGACATAATCTGAGGGATATGTCACCTCACAATCACTCAAAGAAAAGCAGCGGCATTTCATCTGTATTTGTTCTGTTGCCGAGCGACTCAAGGCAACCAGAGGAAAGAACCGACAACAATAGAATTTGCTGAATCTCCATGGCCTACAATTGGACCGTGTAATAAAGTGTTGGCTTTTATCCTGTTCCCGAGGCTTTAGAATTCATTCCTGAACAAAATGATCCCCATATTTATATTTAGCGAGGCAATATTTCCCATTGAGGGGCTGTGCTCTTTGAAGATGCCCATGAACAGTAAACCACTGCCATTTAAAACTGAATGAAATGCTGCTGCTTTGTACGGTGTTCTCACCTTAATTTCCTCACACAAACCCACAACAACCAAAACAGACACCCCCCACCCTTCATAATCCCTGTACCCTGATGACGAGCCATCAGTGGTTAAAATAAAAACAAAGCCAACAACAATGAGACAAGACATGCCCACCTTGCCGGGTAACAGTAGTAATAAAAAAAAGGAGATGAAAGGATGATAACGTACCGAAAAGAATAAAGAGGCAGTGTGGCGTAACGCTCTTTAGAGACAGCAGGGGGAGCAGCGGGGCAGGGGGCCAAAAGGGGGATAGGGAACAGGGGACAGGGGAAAAGAGCGGAGTGGAGGACAGTGGAGTGGAGTCAGGACATGTCCGCAGGCCACAGGCAGCGAGGTCCACAGGAAGGCCACAGTACCATGGAGGAAGGAGAGGCATGAGGGACGACGAGAATGAAGAGGGGAGGAGGAGGAGGAGGATTCATAGAGCATGAGAGAGGAGGGTGGGGTGGAGGAAGGAAAGGAGATGGTGGAGGGACAGTTGATGGTAACATGTGCCAATGTTGTGTTTTTGTGTTTTCATTTTGTAGGTGGTGTCCAAATTGAGGAGGAAGAGGGTTGGGTGGGTGGAAGGAGGAGGAGTGGTTGTAGTGGTAACAGAGGGGGGGGGGGGAGAGAGGGAACAATTGGTGGTGGGGCGTGCAGTCAGTTGGCAAGAGTTGAGGTGAGGGGGTTTTAAAACAAAGGGGGGAGAGGGGGACAGAGAAAGAAGAGAGAGAAAAAAGGAAGTAAAAAACAAGGTCAGTATACACAAAGAAATGTAGTGCTTCAGACAGTAGGACTGGCTAAATTAAAATGCACTGTCACTATGGGAACACTAGGAGAAAAAGAAGAGAAAAAAAGATTAACAATGAAATACAGAAAAAGGCAGAGACAATATGTACTTTAAATTACAGGCTACGTTTGTTCATATTTAATATTACATCAAACAGTTAAAGCTGATCTTAAAGTTAACAATGCTAAAAGGAAAGGTCTGCGTAACTACAGTAAATAGAATGAGTCACTTATACATCCTAGAGAGTTACCTAGATCATGGACATTTCTTTAGAATACAAATATAAAAAGTAATATTGTCTCTCCAACAACTCAAGAATGATTTCAACTAATGGGACAAAAATGAAGATGTGAAATGGTAAGTAAAACAAATTAAAATAAAGAAGTTAGTGTTTTTGAATAAACTTAAAATTCACAGTGAGCAAAGTGGCAGAAACGCAGCAGGTTTGGTCAAACACAAAGAGGTCCTGAAAGAGAAGAGGGTTGGACTCCATGACCCCCTTTTAATTAAAAACATTGGTGTGATCGCATGTCGTGTTGTGCAATGTGTGACCGGGGGGGGGGATCCAGATCCATGAACCCGTAGTGTAAACAAATGGCACTGTAACATTTCTATGTTTCTCAGCAGCTTTGACAGAGGCAGGGAGTGGAGCTGTTAACGCCCAGTGAGAGTACTGACCTCAGGGTTGAGATTGCTGACCAGCAAGACATTGTGTCCCCCAGAGGCAGTGAGCCCTGACAGACCCAGCCTGTTAGCAGCTGCTGCAGCAGCCGCCATGCCACCATGGCCCATACCCAGAGAGGCCAGGCCGGGCATCCCAGGCATCGACAGACCTGAGAGGAACACATTATTCATTACATATTGCTTTCTGCATAATGAAGGGACTTGGTGAGGATATAAAAACATGGAAATATATTATAGGGCTGTGCGATTATGGCAAAAATCATAATCACAATTATTTTTGGTCAATAATTGATATCACAATTATTAAAAACGATTATCCATTTACTTTGAAAACATCCATTTATTTAAACATTATTTTTGAACAGTATGTTTTTAACAGTTGATTACCCTGAACTTGAAGTATAATTCAACTGAAAATAATCCTTTTATTTCGATTACGTAATCGTTGCAAGCCAAAATCGAGATTAAAATACGATTAATTGCACAGCCCTAATATGAAGGGGAAATATATAGGGTAGATCTAAGGAGAGGAAATACAGGTTTCATTTGACATGGCGTAAAAATATGTATGTGTACTGACCTGATTGCTGGAGGGCAAAGGCTGGGGGGAAGCCATGAGCACCACCATAAGGAGAGGCTGAGATCAAACCTGGAGCAGCTGGGAAGAGATGCAACAAAAAGCAAAACAATACCCTCTCCGTCAAAAGTGTACTTGGAATATTGTTCGATCCTCAAATTAAAAAAATGCTTGAAATTGTTGTTTCAGGGCTCATTATATATATATATATATACACACACACATATATATATATATATATATATATGTGTATAAATGTATAGAGGCAAAGTCCCTCCCTTTCCGGGGGAGCACCATGGGACCTTATTTCGGAAAAAGTATGTATTGAAGTCGATGGAGAGAGAAAGATTATCTTTCGATCCCGTTTGAATTGTGCCACGAGTTACACATATGATGTTTGTCCATTTAAAAAGATAATTTTGCAAGTCAAAAAAATGTAACTGAAGTAACACTTTTTGTGTGAAACGCTCAATGAACTACATCTCCCGTCTCGCACCAAGACGGCCGTCACGTTGAAACATTTCACTTCTTTCTTTCAGAATGAGGCGAAAAGTATTAAACGAGGTGAAAATCACTCCAAGTCTGGGCACGTTGAGAGCTGCACATACACACAAGGGGAGTTAGTCGGTTCCGTAAGAGCCAGCATGCGGGACCGGGATTCTGGGATTTGTAGTCTTTCTAGTTGCGTATTTTTCATAGTCTTGTATTTCAACAGTTTTACGATAAACTGACTTTTGACATGGACATTATTTTTTACGATTGACAAACATCATGTGTAACTCATGGCACAATTCAAACGGGATCGAAAGATAACTTTTCTCTCTCCATTGACTTCAATACATACTTTTTCCGAAATAAGGTCCCATGGTGCTCCCCGGAAAGGGATGGCCTTCACCTCTCTATATGACCATTTATAACCAAATAACATTTTTAAATCGTGTTCCAATCCTACCAAACGCAGCGGCTGCCTGCATGGTCTGGTGGTCGAGGGAGGGCTGTGAGTCAGCAGTGGGGAGGTCCGGTCGGGTGTAATCTCTGCTCTTGTCGTTGTTGTACTTGACGTTCAGGCTGGTGAGCTTGGAGAAGCTGATTCTCAGGGTACAGCAGGCGTTATAGATGTTCTGTCCATCTAGAGACTGAGACAGACACAAGAGCATTAGATGCATGATAGTTTTACACTGGTGATTTTAATTACAGTTGAATTTTCAAATGGTCCCACAATGTTTACACGGCATGCGTGTCAACCTTACTGCAGAAGTGGTGTGAACACACTGGGAGTTAAACACCATGAGAGAGAACATATTTAAAACCAGTCTTACCAGTTTGGAGTGCTGAGCTGTCAAGCCATCGGCATACTGGATCAGAGCCTGGAACTGGTTGTTCTTGGTGAAAGTGATGATCTTCAGCACAGTGCCGAACTTAGAGAAAATCTGGAGGGGGAGGTCGCATGATTAGAGATGACATCACAAACTCATTTCATTCAAACATTATGGTCCGAAAGATAAATGGAAAACATTTGCACATCTGCGTCCCACGACTAAAAACTTGTTTACGCAGCTCCACCACATTTGCAATGCACTTTCCTTACATGGTAGTAAATGTCAGCCATAGAGAAACACTTCTCAGTAACATCAAAAAGTTGCAAATACAGTTGCGTGTTTCACTGCTAATTCTCTCTGAAAACAACACCAGAAAAACAGGTAAGTTCTACTGTAAGTAATTGCATAAAGGGTACCGTCAAGCCTATAATACATGTAATAATTCATAACTGTAGCCCCTCTAACAAATTACTAAAACTCCCGTACCTGGTGCAGAACATCTAGGGTGACGGGGTAGAAAAGGTTTTCTATGATGACTCTGAGCACAGGGCTTTGGGAGCCTGCTCCTCCCATGGCAGCAGGATCTGCAGGGATGGCCATGCCTCCCATGCCCATGCCTCCCATCCCGACCCCCATCCCGACGCCCATCCCGCCTCCATGCAGCGCATTGACCGCCTGCAGAGCTGCCTGGGCACGCTACGGGAAGAAAAACGGGAAGCCTCTTAGCAAGAATGGTGAAACGTATGCAGTGATAAATGATTCAGACAGTTTCATAACTCTTAGTATCCAGCAATGACTGCGCGAGCGAAAACACTTACCACTTGGTTGGGGGAGTTGTCTGTCTTGAGCTCCTTGTGGGTCGAGTATTGCATGTAAATGGGGTGGTTTCTGATGACGGGGGTGACAGAGGAGTAGTAGCTCACCATCGTCTGTGCACACTCCTCACTGTTCATTTCCAAGAATGCCTGCAGGGGAGGAGCAGAGAAACTTCTTTAATATGTTTTTCCCATCACTCAACATTAACACAATTTAGCAGGTCTGTTGTAAAACTAATTAAGAGCATTTTTACTGCCCATCACAGTTCCTCTACTTTTAGCACATTTTCAGTTTTACATCTGTATTGGATTTGATATAGAACCCCAGGTAATATAAAGAAAAAGGGACTTCTTCCAGTACAATTCAGAAAATACAATTATCATTCTACCCATTAAAACTTTGAGTACGTGACAAAAGGGCATGTCTTAATTTTGATGGCAGGGTAGAAGGGTAGAGAGCTGACCTCCACCTCCCAGGCCTAAAGGGATTGCCCCCAGGGGTCATACAGGTTTGTGAGCAGCCCTTCATGTATCAGTCCTTACCTGGTTTTTCCCTTTCAGCATCAGCAGGTTGGTGACCTTCCCAAAGGGCAGTCCCAGCCCAATAACTTCTGCTTCATTTATGTCGTTGGGCAGCTTGCGTACATGGACCACTCGTGACGGAACACCAGGACTGCGCACGTCACCTTTGAATTTTTTGCTGTCGTTGCCATTGGCTGCGAGAGAATAAACACACGCAGATACAATCAGGGAGGGAACAGAAGCCTCTGGTTTGTCTTGAATAATGGATTGATCGTCATGGCAACAAAAACGACACAGAAAACACTTCAATAAAAAAGGATTCACTCCTCCATGGCAACCCCCCCTACCTGAGTTCATGATATAGGGCCCAGTGGGTATGCAGGAAGAAAAGAGTTCGTCGGATCCCCTCTGTAGATAGAGAGAAAACAATGGTTCACTTCAGTGCATTCACCAATGAGGGCGCAGCATAGCAGGTGGAGACCACGGCTCTCATATTACCCAGCCATTGTGTGATCTAGCAGGAAGTAATCCTATAACCAAAAGAGGATTGTGCATACATGCTTGAAAAGAGCTCCACCTTCCTCACAGGGAATAATTAAATGACCCAGCCTGTCAGCAGGGATATTTGACTTCTCATCATACTCATATCTTACCATCCCAACTCAATCCCAGTTCTCAACCTTCGCCACAGTCAGGATCATTATATTGTGACTTGGGGGCAATGTGCAAAATCATCATGTTTTAACACCAGTCACCCTCACGGAGGAACAGCCGTTCCACCTTAGCTTGACAGCCGCTGTCACTCAGTGCAATCCATCTTCTAATAATTCAGTATAAGAAGGAAGGATAGCACACAAAAGCCCTCTGGATGGGAAGAGAAGATGGGAATACTCTGTGCCAATGCCCACACAGGCTTACTGTCTACTGAAACAGCCTCTTCTGTCCTCTCTCTCTCTCTGTGTAGTAGATATAAAATGCTGTTTCAGGGCTGTTCTCATGGTGTGTAAGTTTGTGGTTGTGCGAGATGAAGTATACTAGTCACAAGAAGTGGCTCAGCAGCCTAAGCTCAACAACACTACAATGAAGGTCCTGTTCCGGCTGAGACTAGGGGCATTGTTACACGGCAGCACACACACATATGGAGCCACAAGGACTCTCTGGGAGTTGAAGAGCCCGGAGCGCTTAACAACAACCAGTCATGCAGGTTTGCTAGCATACCTTGTGAATCTTGGTCTTTAAATATGCATGGGGGGGGGGGGGGGGGGGGTTTAGTCAGGCTGCAAAAGCTTCTCATAAAAGGAAGGATTAAGGTGATCTGAGAGAGAACGTTTGGTGGTGCCTTCTAAACACTGTGAAGGGGGAGTACTAAGCGCACTAACTCTGTTACCATTAGAGCAAACCACTGTAAGCTGGAACATAAACTTCCCTTTGACTTCCAGATGGTTTGGTCGAGGCGGTCACTCTCACTCTGAGGCCCACGCAAACAGTGTCTGTTATCTCAATTCATGGCCTTAGAGCAACAACAGACATTCCTTTGCCTTTTCACTCTGGCTTCAGGATCAGGGGCCTCCTGGTTTGGCAAATGTTCAAATCTTTACATAAATGGAATGTATACATGGCAGAGTTTCTGAGCAAAGAGAACTTGGGTGTCACAAAATCTCTAAGTTGGTCCCGGAAAAGACAAGTGAAAAAATGCATTTAAGGTTTTTTTAAATTATTACTACACTCATAAATAATGGTAAAAACAACAAGTGTGTTCAGTGGTTGGGAAGTCAATGTGAAAACAACATTTATACTTGATAAATGGGCCTGGGCCAGTTGCAAGCTATGAGAAAGGAAGGAAGTGGCTCCCTCCTGACTCGGCGCTCGTGGGTGGGCAGTCACATTATCAGTCAGCAGACTAACTCCAAACAGGAAGAGCAGCGAGCTCAGGCCTGCTTCCAGGCTTTTTACTCAACTTCCTCCTGGGGACTGATGGTTACTGTTCCATGGCAGGACTCTTTCTCTCTCCCCCTACTTCCTCATTCTAAAAATAACCACAGAGTGAAGGCAGCCTATAGTACAGAGCAGGAACATCAAATCACACACAAAGGACGATTGTATACAAAAAAAGACTAAAGAATATACCTATAGCCTTGGGAGTGAGTGGTGCAAAGATAGCAGAGTAGCACATAACCAAGATACAAAGTTGATGCAAGATATATAGAGCATATAAAAGGTTTGTTAGTTAGACTGCAACATAGTGCCAAACCCACGTTTCCTGCAAAACTCACTGAATGCGTATCGACTTGTTCACATCCTGTTTGCTCTGACAATATAATAGCAACCTTTGGGAGGCGGTGACACATTACTGGCCCGCATGATGAAACTCTTCCTCTCACTGATAATAGCACTGGCCTACCTTGAACTCAACTTAAACAAAAAACAGGAACATGGACTGAGGGCAATATGACTGCTCCATACATCACTTCACACCTGGTTTGCATTGCATCAAATAATGAGGAAAAAGGACATTGCCACATTTGTGAAAACTATAATTTTGTAAGAAAACTAATTCTGACTTCCTTTGTACTTGTGCTGGTGCCTGCAAGCAGCTTCACTTTGTTCTATGTTGGGGGGTTGGTGTGAGGTAATCTCCTGGGAAAAGCACAAAGGCGAAGAGCACAGGTACAGACATGTTTGCTCACTGTGATCAGCCTTTGCCCATGGAGGGGGCAGGGAGCTGTGCCTCACCAGGGGGGGGGGGGATTGGAATGTGACCGCGGAATGCCAGACGCTCTGCCCAGACGGAATAATTACAGATTCCAGCGAGGCAGCGCTCCATAACTCAGCATCCCCTTTACCACAAAACTTCCCAAAAACAGGAAAAGTTAGAGAAAGAATCACAAAAGGAGTCCGATCTTGAGTACCATCAGTAGCCTTTAAATCATGCATTGTTAACACGTTGAAAAACATCAGGGCCTTATTGAAGTGAATAGAGGGGGTGGGGTGTGTCCCTGTTACGGGTGAGCTTGTTCAAACAGTGTAAAGACCTTTGCCCGAGATGGTGAGGACAGTTGAGGCGCGATGGCTACAGCCGTAAGTTCAATTACTCCTCCTACACATAGCTGCCTAGGGGCCCGTAACCAAGGATTACTACTTAGACAGGCATTTTTATTGGGTATGCAAGCAGCAAACAACAAATGTGGTCCCACTTCAACAAGTTTGCACACACAAGCTACAAAGAAGGGCTATGACAGTCACATTAGCATACAACAGCTCCCTCATGACTAAAATGATAAGAGCTGATTCATGCACAAAGATATAACTTTGGACACTTTTCTGAATTCTTCTACTGGTTTGGGTTAGGTGTTCTAGCACCAGGGCAGGATTCAGCTGCTTTTGTTAACATTCCAGTTAGGCCAACATTCTATTAAGGAACACACAAAATAAACAACAGGAAGTTTCATTTCCCTACAGCCACACAATGCATCAGAAACAGGACAGGAAGAAATAAAACCCCAACTCAGATAATCCATTGTAACTAAATTATCACGTTTTTTTGTCCAGTCTTGGAGATGCAGCTACCTTAAATCTGAGTGTTGAACATTATGTATCTTTTTAAAAGAGCCGGTCTGCAACTGAATACTCATTTCGCATAGGAAACATGCTTTGGACTGCAGTTCTATAATTATAGAGGACACTCTTGCAAATTGAAAGACTTTGCATCTGAAGTCCTGAAAACTGTTGTTTTCCATTTCCACTGACTTCTCTTAAACCAACATTACCCAACAGCAGCACAAATGTATATATATTACAACCGTCATGTCAATTACACATACATTTAACCTGTGGCATTAATTATGTGGTCTAGCCATGTAGTGAAAAAAGCAGTACAGCAAAGAGAAGATTTATAAAAAATAAAAAACATCTTACCTTTGTGCCAACTGATATGTCATGGACACTTCTGTGAAAAAGAAAGTTGATCATTCATTTAGTAAATCAGAGAAAAAATAACACAAATGATCGTGGAAATGCATTAATCTTTAGATGTATGACATAGTGCAAATCAACCAAAAGAACATTCACTTTCTCATACGAAACTAGAAATCAAGGGCAGACGTACACATTTACAAATATAAACAAAATACTTACTCGAGTTCAGGGACGTAGCCGGTTCCCAGGGGGTACAAGTCAGCGTCTAGGCGGCTGTAGCAGGTTTGGGAAACATACCACAATGAACACTTAGCATAGAAATAAGTAATAACACATTAAATCTCGCGAATAACACATGTGCGTCAAACGTATTGTAAGTTATGTGCAACGTTCACTATGCATTGATAAGTCCCTATACACTGTCGAATTCAAATGATCAAAAAGTGTCGAATGAAACAACAAATCGCCATTGTGTACCATACCCTTGATTAAACAAACCAGTATAGAATTATCTGATTCAATCAACGGGAAATGTTCAGGCCACACATCTTCAATATGGCCCTGGCACTCCGCAGACAAATGAATGCGGAAATGAGACACGTTGCTTTAGCTAGCGCTCAATCTCCCGTGAAACCAAGTAACCAAGGTAGTTGGCTAATGCTCACATAACGTCTGCTATAGCAAACGAAATAGGATCACCAGTATTTCCCTGATACAACAAGAGTGTTTACTAATCGTAATCATAACTCTTAATATATTTGCTGTTAGTCTGTTCACACTAAACTACAAAACATAGTCCGTACAAATGGTCCCCCTAACTACCGTTGTTAGCCATGGCTAGCTAGTTAGCATTCTCTGCTGCTAACTGTTGCATGTTTTGATGGAAAAAAACTGTTTCAAAACTTTCAAAAGTGAAACAGCCATTGCGAGCAAAGACCTTTGTCAAGTAACTGTAGTATCAAAGTCTAATACACAGCAATATGTTAGTTTTGTACAAATTAAGTCTCAAGTGTGGTTATTTTTCCACTTACCCGTCCATTGCACAAGAAAAAAACTGCAGGTCTGAAGCGAAGGTAGGGCGGCAGACTTGCTTGATTTTCTTACAAAATGGCTGAACACACGGAGGCGAGCGCTGATTAGTCCAGGCACTTTCAAGAGCCAAAAAGGGGCGGGGACAAGCTGCTACTTGAGCAGCCATTGGACAAGACGGCTATCATTTTGTGACTATAGAAAGGCCGCGGCAAATTTACAGAACATCATATAAAGTGTGATTAGGTTTTGTCTGAGTTGTATGTGATGAAAAGAAGAGCGTACTATGACTCATCGACTTATCGTTAAAAAGGAAATGCCCCACTGTTTTCTTAAAGACCGAACAAGTATGAAGTCGCAGTTAAATGTATTGGCTCTCGTTATATCTTATGATGAAACAGTACAAAACACACCTTCAAAGATGAACACCAAGGAAGTGTTTTCAGTGGCGCATTTAAATTAGTCCTCCTCAACACCAGCTTTTAAACGAGTATGTGGAAGAACTATACATCTTTTACTATCTATTCATTGGCTATACTCAACATGTTTATCTTTATTAACAGTTAAGAGACTGCCAAATAAATTAAAAAGTATAGTAAATGTAATAACATAAGGTCACATACAGGCCAGTTATTTTAATGATTTTCACCACTGTAAATATGAGATAATTAACAAAGAATTAGGAGATTCCAGGTGGAATATTTTTGAGTAGGTTCACTTTCATCCACACTATTCATAAAGTAGGCTATTGGGATTAATCTGAATCTAGCCCTTGGGGCCATAACTCCTTGGACCTTTTGACACATTTTCAGAGTGGAGTATCAGATACTGTGGTGTTTACCTCTCAATGTAATGTGTGAACAGCACCTTTAGTTTTGATGGGGCACACCACAATCAGGGGGTAGGCGTAGGCCTAATTGCCCTGATACTGTGGTACAAGTTTCAAATCAGCAAATTATCCTGTAAACAACATAGGCCTACGAGTTAACTCAACATTGCAAAAGGAAGGAAACAGCTCTGGTGTGACAATAAAAGAAGGAGTGAACACTAAAAACACAAGGCAAAGGCAGTGTAGAGCCATAAATAGGTTGCCAACATAACCAGTTTAAAGGTAGGACATGCAGCTTAATTACACACCCAACAATAGAGGTATGTGCAAAATAAACCGTCTATTCTACTGAACAAGATTTATAGAGAAGTAATGAACTGAAATAAGCTCTGCACAAGTAGGATGCAGTTATGTAGACTAAAAAACACATTGGATGAGCTTTATACAAAAAACAAGGAAAGACCCTCATATCAAGAAACGTACAACAATAATGCACTTGTAGAACTTACTGGTTTGCATGGGAAATAAAGTGAAATAACTTAATTATATGGTGCCTTCAAATACAAAGTTGAAAACAGAAACATAAAGTGGCTTAAAATAGCAGTCATCATCAAGTGTTAAGTGTCACAGTTGGTGATCTCAATGTGGCTCTCATACCGGGGGTTGTATATGCTTACAATTCAATTACAATCTCCTTCTTATTTCTTAAATTCCACTGGTTGAATCTATGACATATATTGTTTTTATTCTCTGTTTGTGTGTGGGGAGAGTGTGGAATAGCACTGTAAGGGGTGTGACCAAAAAACAGCATACAATATATTCTCTGTCTCGTGATGTGGAACACTGCTACTTTTATTTAATGGTGAAATGTGTCTCATCACAGAGAATGTGTTCACAAACTGAATGTGCCCCAATGGGCTCCTCATTTAACTGTCATTTAATCGGAGGCAGAAATGCTGCAGGATGCAGCAATATAATTATTAGTTTTGTTGAATAGTGCATAATAACCTCAATCTGATGAATGCCATGTTTAAATGACCCTCTTCCTTTGTCTCCCTTTTTCACAGTAGGTCTGTATGGTCTGTATTTGACAACAGTCTAACAGGATTAACTCCAAAACAGAAGGTGTATGTCCTCTAGTGGCATGTTCTGGGTATTGCACCTTAGATACAGCTGCCTTTTGCCAGATCTCAGTTTAATGATGCTGAAATCTAATTTATGCTCAACAATATACATTACTACTGGTGGAACTGCTCTCTGTAACTTTATATTTTATCTATCTACTCAATTGAATTGCTCCTCAAACCACAATTTACTTATCTAAATTGTCAATTCTCCATCAAAGGGATAGTTTAATCGTATATTATTCTCATACTTATTTTTTACCATTCAATTGTGTTAATCCTATAATAAATGCATGATTTATTTGAGTATAATTGTGTGTACGTTTCCCCAGAAGGGTGTTCATCTGTGGCTCCATCAGCTGAGATGCCAAAACCACACACATCATTAACCATGTGTGCGGCGCGCTCATACAGCATGTGTAACTTACATTTGGCTGATTAGATAAACACTTTCCGGACTTGCTGTAAACAAACAGTTGTTTTATTCAAGATTAAACATTTAGACGACCACAGAATAGATGAACAGGCATTGGTCTAACACAAGGTTGCTTTTTCTGCTGCTGTCCCAGAAACCCACAATTAAGCAAAGCTTTAGCTCAACAAATGTACATCTATGTATAAAGATGCATGTATGCATATAGATACGGCTACATAATGTACATACATACATCAGTCAGTTAGTCTCCTGTATAAAGATTTATCCCCGGAACATGATAACATTTGGATGTAAATTGTCACGTTTCTAGTATTTGGGCTGTACAAAAAAATCAGTCAGTTAAAGGAAAATCAGCAATTTTGAAAATGTAATACAGGCTACACACATTTTTTCAAGACACCGACAGTAGTCTGCATCTTATGCTTGAGGTGCATTTATTTATAGTTACCATGTGAAAAACAATAATAATATTCTAAGTTTTATTACCCCTCTAGAGTAGAAGGCAGTTTTTCCATTGGGCATCATATGACCAGGAGCAGAGCAAGAAAAACCCCGGTCTAAAAATGGCGACAGACAGACAAGTCCAAGCAACTGAACCTGACAAAGGCACAAACAATACACAGATGTAGTTATATCTTCTTTTAAAAATACACACATCATAATACAATATGCCGCCTTGCAGAGGCCATAGGAAAAGAAAAACATGAGTCAATATCAGAAAGAAATTGCAAGTTGTACAATTACATTGGAACTGTACATATGGAAAGCATAGACTATATTTCGTCATCCATGCCTGTTGACCTTCCTTTGGAATGTTAGAAGGGATAATTTCTCTGGTGGTAAATGCAGGCAGGACATGAGAGAATGCATCTGGCACTGAAGGTTGCGAAAGACTCAACAAGTGTATGCAGGAGGCAGTAGATTCCCACAATCCCCCTCACCCGTGGCGTGAGTAAGACGGTAAGGAAAGAGTTGAAGTGTAGTTGGTGGATGGAGTGTTAGACAAGACTCAGGATTAGCACCAATTTCAGAGATTTTTGAATTGCTGTGTCTCCGAGCATAGAAGGTAGGGTTGCGTGTGTTTGACGATGAAGGATGGTGATAATGGAAATGGTGTGTGGGTGAATCAAACGTGGATGAGCCTGAGGGGAAGCAGAAGGATCGGTGGTGTAGCATTCCTGACCCGGGACATCAATGGCCTCTGTCTTCCAAAGAAATGAGTAGACTAGAGCCAAAATCTATTTCAATAGGCTTCCAGGGCTTTCAATTGTTATAGTGTAAATGGACCATTAGGCATCCTGCACTGTTTAAAATGGTTAGATTGTCTGTCCCCCCCCCCCCCCCCCGAATCAATATGGCCTATTCCTTATAAAACATTTACTTAATAGCTCTGGGTCCCTTGGCATAAAGTAAAGTCTTTAGATTGAGAAAAGTGAATTATAATCGCTCCAATCTTTGTCTTCAAATGTATTCAAGTACCCGGGTGTGCAGACAGGGGTTAAACTGGGAGCGAGCAGGACAGAAACCAGCAGCCGACCAACACACAGGGAATTTACAGTATCATCAGAATTTTATTTGGTTCATAAAGAGACAAAAAGCTTCTTTTTTTTACGGTGAGCTCATTATGGTAGAATCCCAATTTAACCCCTGGATTTACATTCAAGTGAACGTGGAAGTGTATAATTAAGACCTTACAAGTGACAAGACAGTCAAAACAGTTGCAAGGCTTCATGCAGTGCTACCTCATTAGATTTACATTGATTCTACTATTGAGAGAACAAAAGCATTTAAGCTAGTTGTTGCGCAAATGGTTCAGCATGACTTTAGATCATAAGGTATCCATCTTATTCAAAAAATACAAAAGCTGTGATCTTCATGTACATGTGTCACATATAGTATATATGAGAAGCTAATGCAGTTTGCAATAAGGTCACTGTTCTATTCAGCCGTTTGTCTCCGTGCTGTAGAGTTCTTTTTAAAAGCACACTGCCAATTATATCAACTGTTACTGATAGAAAAAAGACTAAAGATATGAGCACATTTGAGTCTATAAAGCACAGACACGTGTTATGATTGTAACGCAAATCTGGTAGTGCTTACAAGCTTACATGCAGTTAATGGTCTGAGATGATATAGAGAACCAAAAACAATAAATACATTGTATAAAACATCATTTCATATCAATATATTAAAATACTATTTAAAATAATATCTTAGACAATATTGCAATATGAAATTGACTGATAAATAGTTGGTAGGCCTACACAGAGAAATATATACTGTATATATTTAAGTATCTGTGTCCTTCATAGTTTGCTGTTTTGATTTAGATGAGATTCCAGATTTCCCTCAGCGGGTAGCAGTACAATCCAGAGAGCGAATACATTTGTCTTTTTTTCCAACAATAATAACAATGAACTTACAGTACACAGTCCCATAATAAAGATATACATACCGAATACAATATAAATGTCAAGACAGAAAAATAGAAAAATATCAATAGAAATCAAAAGTCAAATACATATTGGAGAAAGTATACAGAGTAAAGTGTACTTATGAGTCTTTGTGGTTCTTGTTGTTGTAGCTGGAGCTTGTACTGGCTCTCATTGTTGGTAAGTTGGCTGTGTACTTCGGTTATTTGTTTTTTTCTTCCAGTCCCAAGTTAACACACACACACACACACACATACACACATACACACACACACACACACACACACACACTCCAAGACAGACACAAAGTTACACCAATCCGCAAACACAGACACATGCAATGGCACAAACGCCACAGGTGCAGGTGTGTACTTGCACCCATACACGCACACACACACATGCGCACGCACACACACACACACACACACACACACACACACACACACACACACACACACACACACACACACACACACACACACACACACACACACACACACACACACCCATACACGCACGCACACACTCACACAGCTCACATGACCGTGCAGCACTTGCAGGTCTGTTTCTTCTCCTTTCCTTCCTCTCCATCCTCTCCGCCTCCGTTGGCCTTCTCTTTCTCCGCCATGCTCCCATTGGGTGGAGCCTGCTCATCTGAGGCCGCCTCTCCTCCAGCTTTCCCCTCCCCATCCTCGATCACCACAAACTCGGCCTTGACGTTGCCATCCACCCCTTCCATGGCCGCGCGGTTCTCCTGCTCCTCCTCCATGGTTTTGTATCCCATGAACACCAGGGTGACAGGGTTCTCTGCACTAGCTTGGTCAGGACTGGGCCCCAGCAGCGTGGCCTCAATCCCTGTCACCTCCCTCTTGGGGGTCTGACCAGAGCTCTGCACTACTCCATTCTCACCTATAAGGGGCGCCAGAGTGCCATTAAAAGGTTAGGAGTGAGAAAAAATAAAGAGGGTGTCAGGGTAAGTCAGAGAGACAAAAGCAAGAAAGGAAATATTGCTTTAATTACCTCTGGCTGAGAGGAAAAATGTAATAGAGAAAATGGAGAGGCCATTATTAGCTCACTTTCTCTTTCCGACACAGGTGTCAAGGCTGCTTTGCCTTGGTTTCCTGACTGTGTGATCATACAGTATGTCGCCATGGGTACTGAACTTACCTCCATTTTCTTTGGCCACACCCTTATTGGCTGGAGGGTCTGTCTCCAGTTCCTCAATCTCTTGCTCCAGCCTGGCTCAGAAACACACACATGTGCAAATACATTATTGGAATGAATACACAGAGACTAAAATACTGTTTATAGACAGGCAACATTTGAGTATATGATCACTTCTACAAATAAATATGGCCACAGCTGATCATGCTTGTCACTGTTTCCTTACACAAACTGACCATCCCTTTTTCTCATAAACAATAGTATTTTCTATTCAAATGTAGAGAAATTCTGACTGATATTGCACTTACCTATGCTTGCATTTGGCACAAATAAAGACAGTTATAGTATTTATTTTATCAAGGTAAAAAAACTGATATGTCTATTCTGTGTTTTCAAATTGATTTAATCACTTATAATATAACACATAACTCTCACAAAAACATAATCAGGCATCTGTTAGCTTACTATGGCAGCATTTTAAAACTGATTATCCTCCTCTATCTCTAATGTTGATATAGAGATTTATTCCATTGTTTATACATACAATATCTTGTCCATTCAGGTTACAGTTTTGCTTTCATGTTGGATAAATAAACCACAGTCAACATTAGTACCATGATAACCAAACATATTTGAACCCTTTACATGCTAATAACAAAGATTGTTTTAAAGATAGGACGTGCAGGGTTTTTTAGATGCTGACCTGAGGATGACCTGCTCCAGGAGTTTAGTCTTCACCTCGTCTTCATGCAGACGCTTCTGAGTCTCCTCCTCCGCCGGAGCTCCATCTAACAACCAGCGCTCCCTCAGTGCCTTCGACTGCAAGAGAACACAATAAATATCACCATGAGAACTAACATAACGAAAAGGTAAATCATTTCCTATAATTGCTTTATATGTGGTAAAAAGGAGAGCACGTTTCACTTTAATTTCCCCCTGTTTGATGTCAGTGTATGTCAGCTATAATGAAAAGAGAATAAGCATGGAGGGGGCTTTTGATCATGCTTCTTTCATCAAGAAACAGTTGATTAATTAATTAGCAGAACTTCAATCACCCACAATGCAGCTCACTCTCACCCTTTCAAACTATGACATAAGTGTTTTTTCTTTCTGAAGAGATTAGGGGTATTTTGACTGAAAACTACAAGCACTTTAGCTTATCACCCGCGAAAATCGACCAGCAAATTGCGTCCAGGACTTCCTGCTGAGTGCTGCCACTCAGTTATTGTGTCACAGTACTTCAAATGCTGCCAAGTTGCTGTTGCCAAGTCGTAACTATGATACGACTTGTGTTATACTCCATTGAGCATTGGATTAGAGATCTAGATAAATAAAAAGTTATCATTTCCTAATCCTAATCTGAATTAAAACATTTCATGGAGTTTGATAATGATTACAAAAAGATATCGATGGGGGAGTTAAGAGCACTGACTGTGTTTAAATGTACTGATTGTTAGCTGATTGTCTCATTATTATAAATGCAGATAAAGTTAATTCTAGGTCAAGATAATTAAATAATGAATTGAAATGAACGACTAAATGGGAATGAAACTTTATTATTCTCTTATACTCCACTTCTTTATTTCCTGGTACATGTTTTTGTCCTCCATCAATTTCCAAACAGTGTTGTATTCTTATCTTAACACCCCATCCACATTCCCTCCTGTTGATAAGCTAATATCAAAGCAAATACTTGGCATGCTTTGAGGTAAATATAACAGTGTGTCTTACTCGCAGCTGTTGGAGCGCACAGAGAAATCAGACCCTGCCTGTCCATATGGAAAAGTGTTGGAAAAGCTCTTGTTTTCAGGAGTTGGACTGAAAATCTGGACCTGAGCTTGATTTGAATTCCTCTCCAGTGATGCAACAAGAATTTCTACAGCAAAACTCCCTGTATTTTTTTCTGTTCTTCCCCAACTCGACCACCGCCCCTTCCCCTCTCTTGTATGCATCTCTATCCTTCATACAGGTCATAAACTATCATGGTTTGTGCATGTTTTATTGAATAAGGTTGTAAATGTCAGTGCGTGTGTTCCTCAATCCCAATCCATGTTTATCTTTTTAAAGTTAAAGGGACTGATGATCTTTTTTACTTTCCCCATTGGGTAATTCAGGTCCAGACATTCAGCTCAGCAGAGCATTACAGCACACACACTCTCACGGTGTAATTCAACACTCTTCAAACCCCTGCCCTGCATAGTCTCCTGGGCACTGAATCCAACTCTGCTACCCTCACTCTCTCTCTCTACTCTGTCGCCACACCCTACTACCCCAATGTCTGACATCACCAAGTTAATGTACTCACTCATGCGCACTCACACACGTGCACATGCACTCTCTCTCTCTCTCTCTCTCTCTCTCTCACACACACTCATGCGCACTCACACACGTGCACATGCACTCTCTCTCTCTCTCTCTCACACACACTCAAACTGTCACACACGCGCGCGCGTCTGCATGAACAGTCGTAAAGCTGGAGCGCTGGCTGAAGTTACGTCTCTCTCCATTGTTCTTTTGAGTAAAAGCTGCTAACGTAGCAGACAAAGGGCGGAACTGTGACACACACACACACACACACACACACACACACACACACACACACACACACACACACACACACACACACACACACACACACACACACACACACACACACACACACACACACACACACACACAAATGAAATGAGCAGCTGTAAGGAAAATAGTTTTTTTTATATTCACGTTACATTTTTCCTTCTACAAAGTAGAATGGCAAAACTTTTCAATCAATATAAACAAAAGCCAGGATAGGGTTAGCTTAGCACAAACACTTAAAACAGAAAGAGTACCCTGGCTTTACGTTTGTGTTTTTGCAGTAATAATTTTGTAGAAGAATGTCAATATTAAGTATTGGTCAATTTGATTTTCAAATGTGCATAACATAATACGTTATCATTGAGAGGTTTAATTGAAGACACTGCCAGTTACTGTATACATAAGCATATCTACCATGGCTAGTTAATTAAAAATAGAACTCCTGTTAATGTTAAAAACAATGCATTACCTCATCTCACCGTTATCTCTGCACTGTGACAATGTGTATTCAAGTATGTGAGATAATCCTGTATTAGTGTGATTTAATGATGGGGCAGGTACTCCCTTGTAAAAATGGTGTGTAAACGGAGACATTTATTGGCTTTTCCACATGAAAGCTGTGTCTGGAAAAGCAATACTTGCTGTGGTTTGCACAAAGGGCCTTCTAATGCTCCTGTACAGCAGGATTATACTTCCCCTTGGTGAATCTACGCATGTGTGTGTATGTGTGTGTATGTGTGTGATAGAGAGACGAAAGTGGAGTGTGGTGGGTGTAAGGGCCCTTTCCTGTTGGTGGGAGTGGGACAAAAATCTGTTTCCTCTCCCAAAGCCCTCTGCATTGTCCGAGGCTTCTGTGTTCTTTCATGAAGCATCGCACACAAAAAAATAACACACGCATACAGATACACACTTACAAAGGTTTGCTCTGAAAATAGCTAAAAAGTGGGAGCACGCAAGGGCAGTAGAACAGGTCACAGAGGCTTTTACCACCAACGCACGCACGTCTTTGTCGGCGTGTACACACCGCAACCTTTGCTCTTATCTGTGACCTGCCGAATTGTCCGTGGCTGAAATAGCTTTGATAGTGCTGACACATGCACGGACAAAGGCTTCAGCTCTGATATAATGAGTGTGTGGCCACATGCACGGAGATTTGAACTTGTTTTTTAGTGAGTGTGTGTGTGTATAAAAAGCGTGTGGAGGAGCTGCCGGTGTTATCTGCTGTCCATTCTGAACATTCCGTGACAGCAGTGGTTAGGGAGTATCACACTATAAGGGGATGACATATTTCAAGGGAATGGCTGACTGTGATTTAGTAATTTGGACGTCTAAACAAAAGCAGAAATCACAGAAAACACATAACTGACTGTATTGATTGTATCTTGGGGTCTGGTCAAAGTAAGGGAGAGGCATTTAGGGGTTTAGATTACGCTCGGAAAGAATTTAATCATAAATACATTCATCTTATCAATTTGAGGGCTCCAGTACATTTCAAACAAAGTGGGATTGGAGTGTTCTCAGCGGGTGTCGAATACAGTGCTGAGGGCATACCAGTGGCAAGTCAAGGAGAGGCTAAGGACTATAGTTACAAGACAGTAATGTAAAGCAAAGACAACACGAGCATACGTAATGTTGTAGCTAAGCTAAGAAGAGCCAACTAACTCCGCTTGTAAGAGCCATTTTAATGAAGACCCAAGTTCCCATCAGCAAAAACACGTCGGTTTGCTATCCTGGCTCCAAAATGGTGGAATGAGCTCCCCATTGAAATCAGGACAGCAGAAAGCTTACACACCTTCCAGCGCAGACTGAAAACTCATCTCTTTCGACTCCACTTCGAGCGATAGAATTACTAACAAAGAATTGCTAACAAAGCACTTATATACTAATAAAGCACTTATATAAAGGACTGGCTTATCTAAAGCTAGTTGAGTAGCACTATGAAACCTGATGTACTTATATGATTCTGTTTTCTTCAAGTTTGTATCTTGTTGGTCGAATGCACTTATTGTAAGTCGCTTTGGATAAAAGCGTCAGCTAAATGCAATGTAATGTAATAATGTTTGGGTTCAAGCTGTCACAATTATGTGTTATTTACTGTGTATGCCAAAGGGTGTCACTGCCCTAATACCATGGACAAAGGTCTTTAAGGTGTGTCATGATTGGGTGTGTCTGACCCCGGAAGCGCGAGGGTTGTAAGTACCACAAAGATTGTTTGGGAAATGAATGAAACATGAATGGAAATGGACTCTTGTTTTACGATGCACACTGAGACAATACATCGATTGACTTGATGCTGCAACTGGAAACGAGCCTGCAGGTTCTTCACTGAAGTAGCAACACATTCGTTAACTTATCCACACAGTATAGAGCGTCAGCCAGGTCATTTCCAGGAGTTAAAACACCACAGAGTAGCTTTAGTATTATAATAAAGCTCCTACACCATTAGTCAATTACTTCTAAACATGAGCAACACCCACCTGTTTGCAGATAATATGTTACATTATTTGTTATGTTCAATTACAGTTTTCTCACTTGTACAGCAGGACAAAAAAGGCGTGTGTAAAATGTAAATGCATGTGGAAGTGAGTGTGTGTGTGTGTGTGTGTGTGTGTGTGTGTGTGTGTGTGTGTGTGTGTGTGTGTGTGTGTGTGTACCTTGAGATGCTGGAGTTGCCGTCGGTCATCATCCAGCTGTCTCCTTTTGTTTTCTATCTCTGTCTGCCTCTTCCTCTTCTCCTGTTACAAAACATACACACAAGCATTACAATTACTCTGCAAGTTCTACAAGAGATAATAGGAAAATGATGAAACAGATGTCTTCTTTAACACCGCTCTGTGTCCTTAATAGGGCTGAAATGTATTAGGTCTTACGATGAAAGGAGCTCTATAAATAAAATAAAAGGTATTATTATCAAACAAACCCAGCCTATGTCTTTAATTGTAGTGCTGAGGATTTAATGGAGATCTTTGATGACTGAGTACATATAGTTTCAGTCAATGTAATTACTATAAAGAATCAAGAGAAAGAGAGGGAAGCTGGTGCACACTAATGCATTATAGGAACACATTATATACTCAATATGCCAAGTTAATCTCAGATAATTGTGATGAGAAACGTTTTGATATTATAGTGTGTGTAGTGTTTGGACCCTAATGTTGTTTTATTAGAGGTGCACTTATCGTAGTTGTAGAGTTGTATATATCTAACAACATTAACTACCTATGGAGGCCATTTTGCCTGACAGATATTTCAAATGTTGGACGTTTCTGTTTAATTCACTGTAAATTGATTTTGATCTATTGGGTTGTAAAACTACTCACAACAAATCAAATCAAATGCATAACTGTGTTTGCCATCAATTGTAATTTGTATGCGAATATTTATATCCCAATATACATAATTATACTTCGCAGAAACCTGGATATTGTGCGTCTGAAAGGCAAAGAAAGAAGATAAAACAGGACCAGTGGAAAGAGACATGGAGCCGCTGCATTAGCCTTGGATGTCCTCTAATGGGGGAAGGATATTGGATCTAAAAGGTTGAGTCATTAAGACGGGAGGCCAGATCCTGACAAGCCTCAATGATTTGTTGTTTCTATAGCTATGAGAGTGCCCTAACATGTACTGTGTGTGTGTGTTTGAGTGCGTGTGTATACAAATAACTTACAGCGATGGCCTGGAGTTTCTCCTCTTGTGACACCTCAGCCATCCTAAAGAAAAAAAAAAGAGAGACAGAAAGGGAGAGTAAGTTATAGTCAGATATGAACATCAGACATGACACACAGTGACAAACAACTTTCCTTGCACTCGCTCCGTTCGGCCATTTACCTTCCAAAGATTTCCCGGTGACTGAGGTTAAATATCTGTCTGCTGGCACTAAATCAGTGTCTCTTTCCTGTCAGGGAGAGTCAGGGAAGGCATGCTAATGTGCTAGCAGGGCGCTGCTGGAGATTCCTGCTCTAATGGGTTCCAGACCAGAGGCTCCAGGATGGAGGATGGACGGAGCAGAGAAGAAGCAGAAGAAGGACTGTCACTTTTGCTCAACTGACACTGGACAAAGATAATTGATCTTCTATCAAGTTCAACTTGTTTCTGTAGGCAATGGCTTACGTTATCTCTTCCAATTGGACACTTGATTACTTTTGACTTTTAAAAAAGAGTAAATGTATTTATAATGGGAATCGGCACACCATCTGAGATGACATTCCTCTGTAATAGAAAACCATTTTTACTTATGTTGTGTAGGAATTTATATACAGGGGTGTTGTTTTAATTTAAACTTTTGGGGGGCGTTAACTGAGGAATGCTTAAGCCATAGTCTCCCTAGAAAATATGTGTGTGTTTTTGATGGTACACTAAAAGCAGAATACATTTTTCCCACTTGACTATACATGAGATTTTTTACCTGGCAAAAAAAAAAAAACGATGTTAATGCTGATCCTGAACTACACTATTTTCTCTTGAAACTAAATCTCAAATCGAAATCTGATATAAAAGGCATGTTGAATTTAAGATTACTGTGCACCTTGAATATTACAAAGTGAATCTCTTTGGGTTTTTGCCTTGTTTCTCAGACATGTTTGAAGAAATTAGCTTGGACTCTTAGAAACGTGATAATGAATATAATTGCAGTCCCAATTATGATATTAAGAGTTTATATTTAAGACAAATGAATAGCTTCTGGTGTTATGGCTCTATCTGAATGTATGTATTACCAGTAAAGCAATATTTTACTTTCAAGCATGGTTGAGATTGTCTTGGCCAATTGATAAAGTTAATTCAGGTGGGCAAATTACTCATATCAAGTTATAAATGGCATCTTTGCGTTAATATAACTATTTTGCCAGACTAACAGACCTCTGTGAACTTTACAGTGTGGCCCAACATGTGTACAGCACTATAGCAAAGCAGCAGTGTGCCTTTTTCCATTCCAAACTGAAACTGTATCACAACATAAATGGAATTCCGATTTCTCTGCACTGGTCCAAACCAAACTCTTACAAAACAAGCATGACACAACAACTCTACATAACTCCCCGCCCACTCCTCTCCAAAGCCAGTAAAATGTGTTGAAACTGTTTGATCATGTCAATTCTCCTGTTGAGTGGCCAGGACACCCACTGGTTCTGTGAGTTAGCTTGCATCATTTCCCAACTGAATAAGCTTAGATTGTGAACGTATCAACAGAGAAAACCATCACAATCTTGGCCGTGAAGTAGGGTTGATGTGATTGCTATGCTTTTTATTTCCCACACAAAGGCATGTAATGAAACAACACTGGCTCCTCTCAAACGATAAAGAAGCATACATTTTCCGTCCTGCTTGTAAGTGAACTATCCAATCAGAGAAGCTGCAGGACACACAAAACCGCAGGGGGATATTCTCTAAAATCCCATCACACACTTCGGGCAGCACACACAAACAATTACCACACTGCTCTTTGCTCCTTAACCAAACCACATTACCATCACATGGAGACCCTTTGGAGAAAATGTAAAACCTCGATCATCTGATCAACCTCACATAAACACATATTCTACTGTCTGGAAGCTTTCATTAAAAATATTCGCCTTTTCCACTGAGCCAGCACCAACAGGAAGTCTGAAGAAACATCTTGAAATGCACTGAAGAAAATGAGGATGAATAAGGGAAGCCAGCACTGTCAAGTTCATTAATAAATAATCAAATAAGGATCCAGTATATTATGTTTTTCAGACTTCCAGCCAGGTACAGTTTTAGTCTTAATCTCCTTCTCTTCCCTTCCCAGCCCTCAGGTTACAGTTGGAGCAGGGCAGATAGCTGACTGAGCATCTGGATCAGTTCATCAGTGGTATGAAGGAGCAGGGCCGGCCCTCGGCATAGGCAGTATAGGCGAATGCTAAGGGCGCATCAACCCATAGGGGGCGCCGGAAAAAAAAAGTTAGAAATACAATTTTTTATTTTTATTTCATAACACAATTTCCCGATTTTGGATCAACAAAGTACATCTTATGATCTTATACTAACAGAACTACGCCTATATTGCGTACAGCGCCCATAAACTATGGCACACCCCCCCCCCCCCCCAAAATCAAGTTGAACCGCCCCGGCCCCAGTAAAAACCAGAGGTTTATGTGAAATAGTTCTTTTTTTGAAATAATGGTTTTAGTGGGAAATTATAGGTTTTAATTTTGTATCTGTGTTAATTTAAAATAAATCAAACTCCCAAAAAACGTACACAGCTTCTGTGTGCTTTTATTAACATTGGAATTTACTGTGTAAGCGGCCGCGGGGGGGGAGAGCTTTAGAGAGCTCTCTCCTGAAAGACTGAGAGGCTCTGATAACCTCAGCTCAGTGAGGTAAAGGCTCACCTTTATATGATCATTATAGTTATGAAAAAATAAGAGAGAGAAAATATATATTTATACATTTATAAAAAAACACATACTTTTAAAAGACTTAAAATTGTCAAAACTCAAGAAATTGTGTTTTTCAAGGATGGTACAGTGGTGGTATGAATTTGGCTTTCTGTCAAAAACCTTGATAGCTCTCTTGTACAGCTGTTCTATGGGTTTCAGGTTTGTGGCACAGGCAAACGACCAGTTTGTAAAACAGTATTCAATGTGGGATAGAATCATGCAGTGGAGGTATGACTTTGCAGCATTGACAGTTAAGAAAGGTCTGATTTGTTTAAAATGTTGCAAGTTGAATTTAATGGTATTGGATACTTTCTTGATATGTTTCTTAAAATTGAAGTTCGAGTCCAGTATGACTCCAAGATACTTGAAGTGGGAGACTAGTTCTAATTCTGCTCCGTTTAAAAACACATTGGATCCTTCGATTTTGACTGGTCGTTTACTGAACATCATGCATACTGTTTTGTTTATGTTGAACTGTAAGAAAATGTTGTTCAGCCAGTGTTGAACCTTGTCCAATGTATTTGAGAGACAAGATGAGATTATGTCTGTATTTTTCCCGTGTATAAAGATGACCGCATCATCGGCATACATTTGCACATTCAACTCAGGACATACATTAGTTACATACATCAGGCGAGTAAATGCATTCCACTTTGTCCCTCCGACTAAATCTGCGTAATTCATTTACTCAAAAGTTTATTGTAATGAGGTTTGTGGGGGAGAAATACATCACCATAGTCGTCTTGAAATGTTTGCCCACAATTATTATGAACTCATGTAACCCAATGTAGTATTACAAATATGTATGTGCTAGTATTGTAAACTGAGAAGTACGTAGAGCTGACACAAAATAAATATCACATTGAACAGTACTTTTTTAAATATATGTTAAATGATCATGTATCAAGACCCAATAAATTAAGATACACTTCTCAAATTCACTATTGTTTAAGTACGTCTTGACATAAAGTCATTATATGGGATCTTCTCTTGAACAAAATAGTTTGAAACCATCAAAAAGTTGGTCAAAAAACTAACATAGCAAAAAAAGGTAAGTAGACCTTGAGTTTAGATTATGTTGCAAAATAGAAAGTGATGTTTAAATAAGGTATTATCGGCTCCTAAAATAAAAACAACACTGAAAACAATCAATGCTCAACAACTGTAGAAAACCTGGACATTTTATCATAACTATCCAGTTCATCACGAGTTAACAACAGATGTCCATTGGACCAACTCGAGGTTGTGCTCATATTTCAAACCTGCATTGTAATGTTAACCCTGCTCCTCTAACCTCTAGGCTACATCTGTTAAGATGTATCGGAAACAAAGATGTCCACCTTGTAGGAACATGGTGGGGCTACATCCTTCTGGCTCTCTCATAAATTATGGACGAACAAGAAGAAAGCAGAGTAGGCACAAAGACAAGCATCTACAGCATGGTAGGAAGAGTAATTACATTTATGGGCGTGAACAGAAGACATCCAGGGACGCTCACAGACTGGCCAGCAGAAACATATTGAGACAGATAAATAAGAAAGATTATAAACCAGACAGGACTGAGCGACAAAGCTTTATTAGCCAGCAGTGTACATACAAACAACTAAAAGTAGGGATGTTTTGCCAATATGTCAAAGCAGGTGAAGTCAGGGAAACTAATGACCAGCCCTATTCCCTGTTGAGTGCACTGCTGTTGTAGCATTTCCAGGAACACATTAACTGCCTGCATAGAGCACCAGCATCCTCTTCTAATAGCATCATGGTCCTCTGGCACCAGCAGTCTCCTTACATACTCTCTATCTGGACTGAAACGCCCTAAAAGTGATGATCTTAATGCCCATGGAGCTCAATGAATGGTAATCCTGCTGAGCATATTAGTTTAGGGATATCATGACGAGCCAGCGAGGCTTTCTTTCCAAGATTTTCATTCAACTTAATTGGCAGAATGTACCAAAGGCAAATCATCACACTCTCATCTTCAATTGTATTTAACTATTGCCCTTGCAGTAAAACATCACTTTTGAATGATTAAAGGATTGTTTTTGGAGGAACCAAATTTGTTACAGGCAATTGCACTAAAATGTTCTGAAAAGTCGGTTAAGAGATGTTGTATTAATTATTTACGCTACAGTCTGGGAGTAAAAAGGTCAGCTAGTACACGCAATACTGATCTGTACATGAGACAAGTCACAATATGTAGCTCTGAGAAAGCCAGGGGCCATCCGTGCATGTGTCTATCTCTTGGTAGTAGTAGAAGATTACAGCAGGTCTGATCACCACTAATCTCGGATTATCTAAAACAAACACACCAA